GAGCTTGTGAGTCTTCCCTCCATGTGGTGCTGATGGTGGGGCCATCGAGTTGATCCCAACTCATCCAACACCCCGCTTCTCTTTCCTTGTGTGAACCCCACTTCTCTTCCCTTGTACACTCAGGCATGGCTCTTTCCCAGTGGGAATCAAGTGCTCTGATTCTCAGATTTTGAGAGTCAAGTCTGCTGACTGAACAGAGAGCTACCACGAGGCACCTCATAAGGAAGTCCTGGCAATCTCCTGCTCAGAATCGGGCCCACACGTCACGGTGGAGCCCAGTTCTGCAGGGCTCAGTGGGGCCACCGTGAGCGTGGATGGAGTTTTCTGGGCCTCCCGTCCTTTATTTCTGAGAGGCTCTGGGCCCTGGGCCCTGGCCTTGCCCCTGCCATGTCATCAGTGCTTCTCAGCTTCTAGTCACTGTCCTGACCCAGATGCTTGTTTGTTTTAATTTCTTGGAAGCCTTTCAGTGCCATTGACTGAGTTATCCTGTTGGAAGCAAAGTATCTCAAGTGAGGATTTTAAACCCAGTAAACCCACAGGTGGATTCAGTATCAGCTTAGAAGCAGTTCCTGTGGCATCCTCTCCCCCCAGCAGCTGAGTGTCAGGCCACACCTCCACTCCACGGGCATCTCAGTGGCTGGTTAGGGGAGGCAGTTCGCCAGGACTTTCTTCCCATGCGCCTTGTCTGCTTGAGCTCCTTCTGCTTAAAAGCATTAACATGCACAGAGAGGAGGGACAGCAGGCAGCAGGGGCCTTGCCATCGAGTCCACCCTGACCCCCAGCGACCACTGAGGACTCCCAGGCTGTCAGTCTTCATGGAGACGCATGGCCACGTCTTATAGTGGAGCTGCTGGTGGATTTGGTTAACAGCTCAGCACTTAATTTGCGAGTGCCACACCAAAAGGGCGATGCAGAATGAGATCTTACCAAGGGACGACTTTTCATTTCCGTTTTACAGAGCACTGAGCAAGAATTGGCCCCTTTGGATTGTGCTGTTGGGAGAGTGCTGACTAACCCTGTGGACAGCCAGAGGGAGGGACAAACACACCTGTCATGGAGCCAGGGCGCTCCCTACGGGCAGGAAGGCTGGCACCTGCCTCACAGACTTTGGGCATCTTATCAGGAGGTAGCAGGGATACGAAAAGACATCCTGCTGGGGAAGAGGGAGGTCAGAGAAAGAGAGGAAGGGTGCACACAGAGACTGCAGCAGCGGGCTGGAGCGGGACAGGGAGGATGGGGGACAGGGAGGGCGGAGAGACGGGGGATGGGGAAAGGGAGGACGAGGACAGGAGGATGGGGGGATAGGGACGGGGGATGGGGAGGGGGGACAGGGGGCCAGGGGGATGGGGAGGACAGAGACGGGGGGGGGGGACGGGAGGACAGCACGGGACAGGGCGAAGGGAAGCTCACTGCCCAGAGGGTATGAGTTGTCATCAGCTTGATGACACTTATCAACCCCAACAAACAAAGGCTCGTGTTGGGTTTTGGTGTGTTTTTGACCTTGATCCATGAATAAGTCAAACTAAGAGAAGACAGAAACGATCACAGGTGGGAAGCAGCTGGGCTAGGAGGTCATGTGTGTCTTCTGGTTTGGCCACGTTGTACCTGGAGGCCCCAAATCGCCACCCTGGCCGGGGGGGGGGGGCTCCCCCATGTGTTCTCAGCTGTGGGGGAGGGAGAGCTGTGGCATGACCGCACCCCTTCTCAGGTAAGAATGAGTCTCCTGGGTGCATGAGGCTGCACTTGGTTTTGGGGTTTCATTGATTTTTTTTTCCTTTGCTTCCACAGCAAAACCTGTGTAATGTTGTTGTTGTTATGTGCCGTCAAGTTGCCTGTGACTCACAGTGACCCTGTGTACAACAGCCCTAAACCCTGCTCTATCCTGTGCCAATCTCACTGTCTGACACACCTACCCCCATGACCCCAGTCACTGAATCAATCCATCTCATCGAGGGTCTTCCTCTCCTGCGCTGTCCCTCCACCCTCCCAAGCATGACGTCCCTCTTCAAGGACTTTGCTAGTGTGGCAAACTGTGTGTCCGGTGTGCCATGTTAGGGAGCTCTGGTGGCCTAGGGGTAAGAAACTGTCCTGCAGTCCCGAAGGCAAGTGGGTCAAATCTGCCAGCTAGACCAGTGAGAGAAGGGTGGCCATGCTCCTCCTGTGCGGTTTACTGTCTCTGAAAACCCACTGGGGGGTCAACGATGCATCTGCTCCGACCCCCCCGGCACATGATGACACCACGACGACCACCACGACCACCACGACCACGACAATGCGTCTGCTCTGACTCCCGGCACATGACAACATGATGACGGCCACCACCACCACCATGACCATGACAGTGAGTCAGCTCCGACTCTCCGGCACACAATGACCATGATGATGATGATGACGATGAAGATGATGACCACGACGACGACATGCCGAGTCAGGGAGCTCGGGGGCCTAGAGCGGCGGTGCCTGGCTGCTCTCGGGTCGGTGCCAGCTCGCGGTGAGCTCATCTGTGCAGAGCAGGGTTTCCAAGGCTGTGACCAGGAATGGATGACCAGGCCTTTCTCCCGAGACACCTCTGGGGAGTTCCCATGGCCAGGCTTTCAGCCAGCAGTCCAGCCCTTAACCCCATGCCTCCCAGGGACCCCATGTTGTGTATGGTTTACAATAAAAAAAAATCCCACCAGGAATGTTCTCATTTTGCTTTTAGGAAGAGGAGGACTCATGAGTGTAGATGATATACGATCAACAGTGGACGTGGATTATCCGTGATGGGCGATGGGATGTGGAGGTCTGACCCCACTGTCTGTCTCTTCTGTGGAAGCCCACGTAGCACTGTGGTTAAAGCATTCTTCTCTTAATCAAAGGGTTGGTGGTTCGAATGCAGCAGCCACACCAGGAGTGAGTGATGAGGTCACAGTCACGACCTTGGACCCCTGTGTTGTTGCTGTTATACCATCAAATCAAAACTGACTCATAGTTGACCCTCCAGCAGGTTCTCAGAAGCAGTTAATCGCACAGGAGGAGACTGCCCGTCCCCCTGAGGAACAACTGGGGATTCGAACCGTGTGCCTCAGGAATCCCTGGGGGCAGTTCTCTTCTGTGGGGATTGCTGAGTCAGGGCTGACTCAGCACAGCAGGGACTCTGCATTTCTTGGGTTTTCTCTCTGTGTAGGTAAGCAGCTCACGCTGTTAATGTATCTGCTGACCAAGAGACTGCAGGCCCACCCGTGGTGCATCAGAGGGGAAGCCTGGCAATGTCCTTCCAAACACCCAGCCCCTGGAAAGGCCCGATGGAGCAGGTCCGGTTGGACAGTTCTGTTGCCCTTTGGGGTCTCTGAGTCCTGAGTCAGAATCCAGTCCACTTGGTGCGTGGGGCTTCATATTACGTTCAACATGTTCCCCTAGTTTTAGAACAGTTTTAAAACAGAGTGGACAGAGATGAATGTAGGATTTTTTTTTTTTTTAAATGTAGAGTCTTAAGGAGAACAAGTGGGACTGGCCAGCTCTGCCGGGGCCGCTATTCCCGCCAGCTCCGAGCTCCCCTCCCGACGTGCCAGCGCCAGAGCCGGCCCTCAGCAGAGCCAGCCTTCTGCAGGCTTCGGCCTCCCACTGCTCTGCCCACCTGCCCCCCTGCCCACCCGCTGCAGCCAGACTCCACCGCAGGCCACCTCCGCCTGCCCCTCCCGAGCTTGCAACCTTCCGGCGGGATGATGCAAGAAGAGGAAAGGCCAGAGCTGTGAGCTCCTGGAGGCCGTCTGGGGCCATCCTGAGGGACCAGCCTTCGCTTTGCTGGTAAGTCCCCAGGGCCTGACTCCTCCTGTGCTTTCTAAAGCCCAGTCTCGGGCTTCGTCAGGTCTGTGAACTACCTGGTGTTGTTCCACATCCCTCTTGGCTCTGCTGACTGGAAACTGGAGAACCTGGGGCACAGCATGTGCTGCTCTGCATGTCATCCGTGCACTCCCCAACACCCCACGTGCTCCCAGAAGTGTCCTGTGTCCAGAACGCCCCCCAACATATGTTCCCTTTCCACTGCCTCCTCCAGACCGGCCCTGCCACGAGCCCCGCGCCCCGAGGTGCGGATACTCTCAGGATTGGTGAGGCACGAGACCAGGAGATCCCCGGCTGGTCGGGAAGACGGAACAGCTAAGGGGATGAAAGGTTTCTAGCCTGTAAGGGCTGCCCGGTGGGGCCAGCACCAGCCACAAGCAAGCAAAGCAGGTCATTCCCGTCTCCCAAGAACCAAACGGCAGACGGCTACAGGGGAAGAAGCGTAGCCACATTTGATTTAATCGATACAGCCACACTGTTCAAGCTCGCACCTGTAATCATTGTAAACGTGGTCATGGGATAGCTGTGTTGTGCTGTGTTGTGTTGTGTTGTTGTGTTGTGTTGACCACTGCTGTCCCGGCAACCCCACCTCTGACAGAAATGAATGCTGTCCAGTCCTGCACCACCGCAGTCACCGTCTCGGGGACCTGTGATCGGAGGGTTTTCATTGGCCGATCTCCAGAGGTGGCTCGCAGGCTTGCCTTCCTCACCGGCCTGGTCTGGAAAATCCACCGAAATCGCTTGAGCATCAGTAGAAACAAGCAAGTCACTGCTGACAGATGGGAGGTGCCCGTGTGCACCGGCTGGGGATCGAACCGGGGTCTCCTGCATGGAAGGTGACAATTCCACCGCTGAACCACCACAGCCCTCAGTGAAACAGCTTCTATCTTTTTGTCTCACATTTTCAAAATCTGGCGTGTGAGTTTTCCTCACAACACAGCTCAACTCGCACTGCCCACGTTTCAGGGGCCCCGAGGCTGCAGAGGCCAGTGGCTGCCATATTGGAAATTGTTATTGGGCCCTGTGAGTCGGTTCTAACTCACAGTTAATCCGTGTGACAAAGCAGAACTGTCATGGTGTTTCTGCTGCTGTCATCTTTACGGAAGCAGATGGAAGTGGGGGGATTCAGACTGCCGGCCTCTGGTCAGCGGAGGAGTGCTTGCTTACCCATCACAGCACCAGCGCGCCTTGTGGGAGCTGCCGGTTCATAACATACCCCAGAACTGCGGTGTTGGCAGAGAGTATCGAATGTACCAGCAGAAGAACAAGCGATCTGTGTCCAGGAGGACAGTCCGTAGGAGGACAGCCCGCGGGAGGACAGCCAGAACGCTGCTCAGAGAGGCGGCGCCGACGCACGCCACGTGCTCCAGACAAGCTGTCAGAAGGGCTGGCTGCTCGGGAAAGGCACCGGGCTCGGTCAGGTGAGGGTCAGCGCAAAAGACAGAGACCCTCGGTGAGAGGGACTGCCCATGGCTACAGCCGCGGGCTCGAGCACGGCAGAGGCTGTGAGAAGGGGCAGGGCTGAGCAGCATTCTGGGTGTGGCCACAGGATCCCGTGAACCTGAGTGTGAGACGGGGCAGGGCCGAGCATTCCCGGGTGTGGTCAGAGGATCCTGGGAACAGAACCTGTGAGACAGGACAGGGCTGGGCTGTGATCCAGGCTGTGGCCACAGGATCCCCGTGAACCTAAATGTGAAACGGTTCAGGGCTGAGCAGCGTTCTGGGTGTGGCCACAGGATCCCCGTGAACCTGAGTGTGAGACAGGGCAGGGCCGAGCCGTGTCCTGTCCATGGTCACAGGATCCCTGTGAACAGAACCTGTGAGGCGGGACAGGGCTAGGCTGTGACCCAGGCTATGGCCACAGGATCCCCATGAATCTAAATGTGAAACAGCGCAGGACCGAGCAGCATTGTGGGCTGTGGTCACAGGATCCCCGTGAACAGAGGCTGTGAGACGGCGCAGGGCCGAGCAGTGTCCTGGCCACGGTCACAGGATCCCCGTGAACTTGGCCTGTCTCAGCAGCACTAAGTGCGACCACCTCAGCCAGCACCGTCTGTCTTTCGTCGCACCGTGGGGGCCTTCAGGGTTGCTGTGATAGTGGACACCATGTCACAGGGATCCCAAGGCCAGCAGGGTCACCCCGGTGGACAGGTCCAGCAGAGGTGCCAGGCTGAGACAGCCTTGGAAGAAGAATCCACCGATCTCCTCCTAAGGACCCTGGGCTGAGGGGAACCTGGCAGGAGCAGCAGACCACGGTGCAGTGCCAGAGGGTGAGGCCCGGCCTGGAAGGCCCTCAGCCCACAGCGCGGCTGGGGGACACCTGGCACCCAACCCGGTGCCACAATAACAAAACAAGAAGGGAGCTGGAAAATCGCGCCTTGGAGAAAGGAACGAGGCCAGAGAGCTCAGGGCGGAATCTTCTACAATCAGTGATAAATCTCAAAGAACTTTAAAAAAAAACAAACCCATAAATTGGTCTTTATAAAACCGTAACAACTATACACATGGGCCTTACCAACGACTACACAGGAATCAGATTTACAGCGTCTGTGGGAAGAATGGTGCAGAGCTTACTGTCATCGGTCAGAACGAGGTGAGGCCTGACTGTGAGTCTGACCACCCGCTGCTCCTGTGCAAGTTTAAACTGCAGCTGCAGGAAAGGAAAACAAGTCCACAAGTGCCAAAAGATGACCTTGAGATTGTCCCACCTGCACTTAAAGGCCATCTCAAGAACAAGTTTGGGGCACTCAACACAGACTGAAGGCCAGCTGGGTTGCAGAATAACATCAAAGACATAATTCAAGAGGAAAGCAAAAGGTCACGTGGCGACAAGGAAAGCCGAAAACCCAAACTGGATGTCAGGAGAGACTCCGAAACTTGCTCTTAAACACAGAGAAGCCAAAGTGATTGGAAGAAATGAGAAGAAAGTAAAGTAGCTGACAGAAGATTTCAAAGGGCAGCTCGAGAAGATAACGCCAAGTATCAAGAAATGCTCAAAGACCTGGAATTAGAAGAGAAGAGGAAACTCCAGAAGTTCTCAAGCTGAAGGAAAAAAATTCACGTTTCCAGTTGTAATGTTGCAGGATTCTTTGGGGGCATGGTGAATGAGGCTGGAAGCGTCAAAGTACGCAGGATGACAGTCCTGGACCAGTGGTTGGTCACCGTTCCACTGTTTCAGGAGGAGCACGTGGTCAAGAACCAACAGTCCTGAAAGAAGAAACCCTGGCTGTACTGAAGGCACCGGCAAACACAGGATCCCAGGAACCAGCTGAGTAAGAACTGAGACATCTCAACACACAGCGGCAGCACCGGAAGTTCTTTCCTGTCCATCCAACCGGCAGGCTGACGGGAAGCAGCCGTAGGCGTGGGCACCAGGGTGCGCCTGACCCAAGTCATGGTATTCCAGTCACCTTGAGCATGCGGAAGCTGGGTGCTGAAGAAGGAAGAGGGAGGATGCATCCGAGTTAGGAATTCGAACGGCACCCAGCCACACTGCCAGCATGAGTCCGAGTCCTCCCCCAGCAAACACTCACTTGAACTGGAGGAACTGTGGCCCAGACAGAGCTAGTAACTTGTCACTGCTTGATGGAAAAGCTGAGCCCCAAGCCTACATACTGGCCAGCACTCCATGTTGGTTCGACGTTCTGTGACCGTGACTCAAGAATTTCAGTGAACCCACCAAGTCAGGGATGGATACATCCTGATAGTTTCTTTCGTTGTCATCTGTCTGGATACTGTATAAATCCGGTCGACTCCCATGTCACCTGCCCTCCCGCACCCCTGTGCTCCGTGCAGGCTCTGCCCACACCGTGGAGGGCTGGCTGGGCGGGAGGACCAGCTGACGGGCTCCGAATCGGCAGGCTGGGACACAGGGGCTAGGTCGTGAAAAGACACCGCAGCTCTGCTCTGTCCTTTGACTAATTCTGCACAAAGCCAGCCGCCGTACTGTGAGAACACTCAAGCCGCCCCTCGAAGGGCCCGCACAGTGAGGAACGAGGCCCCTCGCCCACAGCCAGCACACAGGTGGGCCGTGGCCTGTGCCAGCATCCCTGCCACAACATCACAAGACGCAGAGCCACACTCACATGTCCACGTTGTCATGCATACATATACAGGCTCACATCCACACACACTCATGCACACACTCACACACGTTTGCATACACTCTTGCACTCACATATATGAATACATACAGTCCTACACACCCATTACACGCTCAGTCATTGTTGCATGCATGTTCCACTCATGTATACTTACATACACATCGCCCACATACACTTGGGTGCACACACCCACATATGCTCACAAACACACACGTCTATATTCATGTACACACTTCTGCAGCAATGCAAAAGCATGGTCCCCTTCACTAACAGAGGTCCCGACCCCCCGTGACGCGAAATCCTACGGTGTCCATGGCCAGGCAGGAAGTCGTGTCAGGATGCAGGAAGGCTCTGAGGAGATAGAAGCCATAGGAAGCGCCATTCAGGGAAGGGGAAAAAGAAGGGCCTGGAGATAAGACAGAAGAATGGTCAGGCTTCCCGGCTACCCCTCCAGGCTTGCTGAGCTCCTGGGGAGGAGTCGCTGGAAGGCATCAGCTCTCAAGAGCATGAGACCTCTCCTCTTAGGCCCATCCAAGCGCCTTCAGATCCAGCTAGTCCTACGCTGGCGATTTCAGGGAGGGTCCTATTTTGCAATGGGGGCCTGCACTCTGCTGCCTTGCTCATACTTACCCAGCAGTAACTCACCGCGCAGCTAAGGTGAGTGAAGTGTGTGTTTCAGGCTGCGCTTCCCGACTGGAGGCCCTGTAGAGGCGACACTGAGGCTGGAGCCATTCCACCGGCCCCTCTAGGAGCAGCCCACCCTACAGGATGGGAATAGTCCTCACCTGTCCCAAACCCAAGTGGCGATATAGCCTCCTATTCCTGTCCTGAGGAAGTTGGTGCCACTGAGGACCAGCTCCATTTTCCACTTCGTATTGTCTTTGTCTTTAATTTACAGAATCTTTTTATTGTGATTTTAAGTTTACAGAAAAGTTGGGTTTCATTCATTCATTATTGCACGTTTTCCTACCCCACCAGTTCACTTTAAAAAAAGAATTTATTCCTTGTTGTGTTCCACTTTATTTTACTGAAAATACAAAGCTTCATTGTGTCTCAAACTCATTGCCATTGAGTTAGAACCAACTCCTCGGCGACCTTGCAGCGGGTTTTCTGAGGCTTCTCCCGACCTCACAGCTCTAAAGTCTTGTTTTGTTCTTGTTATGTGCCATCGAGTCATTTGCGACTTATAGCGACCCTATGTACAACAGCCCTAAACCCTGCTCTATCCTGTGCCAATCTCACTGCCTCTGACACACCCATACCGATTACCCCCATCACTGAATCAATCCACCTCACAGAGGGTCTTCCTCTTCTGCACTGTCCCTCCACCCTCCCAAGCATGATGTCCCTCTCCAAGGACCTCTCCCTCCTTACAACATGTCCAAAGTATGTCAGACAAAGCCTCAGAATCCTTGCCTCCAAGGAGCAGCCTGGTTTAACCCTCTCCGGGATGAATCTGTTTTCTTGGCAGTCCAGGGTATACATTCAATACTCTTCTCCAGCACCACAGCGCAAAGGCATCAATTCCCCTTCTATTCTCCTTAGTCATTGTCCAACTCTCTGATGCATAACAAGTGATTGCAAAGACCATAGCCTATATCAGACACACCTTAGTCTCCAAAGTGACACCATTGCTTTTCAGTACTTTGGAGAGGTCCCTAACAGCAGATTTTGCCATCACAATACGTTTATTTCCTGGCTACTGGTGCCAAGAGTGTTGACCGTGGAGGCAAGCAAACTAAAGTTGTTAACAATCTCAATCTCTTCACCATCCATCCTGATGCTGCCAGTTGGTCCAGTGGTGAGAATCTTTGTCTTCTTGACATTGAGCTTCAGTCCATACTGAAGGCTGCAGTCCTTGACCATGTGTATTTCAGGTCCTCCTCAGTTTCAGCAAACAGGGTTGTGTCATCTGCATAACGCAGATTGTTAATAGATCTTCCACCAATCCTGAGGTCACACTTCTCCTCATAGAGTCCAGCCTCTCGGATAATCTGTTCTGCATACAGGTTGAAAAGTCTTGCTTAAAGCATGAAAAAACAATTGTTCTAGATTTTTCCCCCCTCTCCCCTTTTAAAGTCAGGTATGATCCATGTAGGTAAAATCCACTGTTCAGCCCACCATTCTGGCAGTTTTTAAGCACTATCGTGGCGCCACACTGCACTGGGGTACCCAGCGGTCCCACGTCACCCCCTCCTCCAAAACGCTCAAGGTCACCATCACCCCCACATCAGAGCTGCAGAGGGCGTGGCCAAAGGTCTGGAGACCCCCAAGGTGTGGTGTGTCCTTTTCTCCGAACGTTCAAGGTCGTGGTTTTGGGGGTGATGGGAGGAGGGGTCCGCGGGGATGGGGGGGGGTGTTGGGCTAAAGTCAGTGAGCCAAGGCTGATGTCCTGTGTCCAGTACCAACTTCCAGGTTAGCCTTCGGGGGCCTATTCGTTAGGAAGCTGCGCTTACATCGCCTCCCTGGCTGCTGGAATTCACCAGCGAGCCCCTGGGGGAAAGATGGACAGTCTTCTCCCGTGAGATGCACAGCCTCTGAGACCTCAAGGTCAGCCATGAGTCGGTTCTGAGTCCAGGGCAGTGAGTGAGTGAACAAGGGGAGGGGGCAGCCGACAGCGAGGACACCGGGGGACGGCTGAGCCCCAAGGCCGCAGTGACTCAGGCCCTGGCGGCCGCTGAGCTCCTGTACACCAGGACAAGAGGAGGAAGGGCAGCAGGGAGCGGAGACCCCTCTCCAGGGCCCGGGCTTGGAGGCGAGGACTTTGGGGAGACGGGGCGGGGGGGAGAGGGGAGCGGG